TTTTTTTATTTTTTTTTTCTCTCTCTCTCTCTTTTTCTTTTTTTTTTTTTTTAATGCAACTATGTTACATTTATCAAGTGAATCGAATACATAACAATTAAATAGCGAGTAATTAATAGACAAGGTTGGCACGTGCAAGGTTCGAAATTTAATGCGGTCTTACACGAAATTTTCTTGTTTCTGTTTCGAAATTGTATTTTATTTNTTTTTTTTTTTTTTTTTTTTTTTTTTTTTTTTTTTTTTTTTTTTTTTTTTGTATTTACGGCGTCTTTTGCCAATTTTAATGCTCTCTTTATCGATGCAAGAGAAAGGAGCGAGAAAAATTCGATTTATCGGATTTATATTATAATACGAATCAAATTGTTTTAACAAGCGAGCAATGAATGCGATCAGCTTCGAAGAAAGTGCGACGTTAAATTAATTTTAAGAAAGAAAAAAAAATATATATATATATATATATATATACATATATATATATACACACATATATTTCATTCTATGAAAAAAAAAAAAAAATGTTCTGTGATACGTTGAACAATTATTGTACGGCATTTGAAAAGAAAAATTCGTGACAACACGTATGTTTGCCCGAGGCCTTGGTTATAATACGTATACACTAGTTTCGCAACGTGTATTGTTATCATAGTTTATTATAATTTTATTATAAATATCAAAGTACACGATTGCAAGGGTAAAAATCATGTCTTGAGATTTTTCGAACTTCTCCAAAATCACTTTAGTTAGATAGTTTTGCGTACCACCTCAACCAAGATTTAACATCTTCGAACTAATTCGAAGATGCGACATCCGTTCATCGAAGACGAAGAAGAAAACATCCGAGGAAGAAGAATATATCTGATCATCATGGAAGATGAATCTTCACTTGCTTCATTTCGAACCGTTTCTTCTATCGAGCGACCCTATTTACTTTCTTTCTATTTTTTTTTTTTCTTTTTTCTCTCTTTGCAAATTTATAAAAAGAGACGAGATTTTCATCTCGTTTCCAGTTTCTTCTTCTTTTCTTTTTTTCTTTTTTTTTTGTTCTTTCTTTTGCAAACTATCGTTAACGTTCGTTTCTTTTTATCGCGTTATACATCGAATAGAGGAAAAAAATTACAATATTTCCAGATCCACCATCGAAGATTATTTTTCCGCTTAGGGGAAATAATTATCGGCATCATAATCAACATTTCGATTTTGATTTCAGGTTCTTGATTCAAGTTCTCAGGAGGAATCAGGTTGTTCCAAAATCGGATGATCTTATGTTCTCGATACGATCGAAGAAGATTGAAGATTGATCAGGTGTGACTCGCAATATCAATGATCCTTCCATACCCATCGTTCAGGCAAGGCCCAAACTCTAACTCTCTGTACAGCACCTGAAAATAAAGACACAATTCTCCGTATTTCTTTTTTTTAAGTATTTCAATTAGCTCGATCGCTATTTTTACTCAATGTCAACCCTGTACAACCGCTTCTTTGCTTAGAAACAGAAGTTGTACAACATGTCTCGTTTAAATCTATCCCCCTAAATACGACCAACATTGACCAACAATGTGATTCGGACTCGAATTCAAACTCGAAAAGAAATAAATAGATCCCCTGTTTCTATTCAATCTTCTTTATGATATATCGATGATATTTCTCAGTGTATCGATGATATATCGAAAAATATAATTTAAACGGAACATGTTGTATGATGTTTACACATACATCACGTATTAGACAGACGAGACCGATTGATATATATATATCAGGGTACGTGGTAGGGCAGGACGTTCATCGTTCTTTTTTTGGGGGGAGGAAGGGGGGGGGGTTGGAGACGTCGATGGATCTAACGGGGAAATTACGATTTCAGGATGGGCCACGATGATAAGACGCGACAACAAGGGGAACTACGCGGTGTACCAGTGCGGGATGTGCGGTAAATCGTATTCTTGGAAGTCCTCCTACCATCGACACTTGCGGGAGGAGTGCGGCAAGCAGCAAAGGGCGAAATGCAAAAATTGCGGGAGGCAGTATCGTTGGAGGGATTCGTTGAACAAACACTTGAAATACGAGTGCGGTGTGGAGCCCAAGTACACGTGTTCGGTGTGCGGGAGAAAATTTCGTCACAAGCAGGTGCTCACGTCCCATTTGAGGAAATTCCATTGAATCTCGTTCGAAGGAAAAAAAAGATTCTTTTCTTCTCCTTTTTTTTTTTTTTTTTTTTTTATCGCGTTTAATCATCGGTGATCTCGTTGAAAATTGTTGTTGAAAAAAAAGTCTATCGGCGATGCTTCGCCAGTGTTGCGGCCATTTTGCGGTCAGAAATCGAAAATACGAAGTTCCACAAATTGGCAGCGATTAACACGTCGACCTTGTTAGAGGAGACGGTTCTTCAATCTTTGGAAGATTGCTTTTTGAAAATCTATCCTATTTATCTAATTCAATCTGTGGATTCCTTAAATTTACAAAAAAAGGATACTTTGAATCTTTATGAAATCCGATTTAGAGATCTCTAGCATCATTTTTTAGGAATCCGTGGATCGAATTTAAACAAAAATTCTTAGAATTCTTTTAATTTTCTTTAAAGAGTAGCCGCAATCCTGACGAAACATCGAAACAAAAATTCTTCCCTTAGGAGAACGTCTCGATTATAAAAATTCTGCGACATCCACGACGGGCAACCACGAAAGGGTCTTAATTAATTATACTCCAACTCTCTGATTAACCTAATTAATTGCGAAATTTATTCGTTGTCTTGCAAGTAGCATAGACTGGTTCACTTAATTGGAAACAATAAAGAAGAATGTATTAAACTCGGCTGATATTTCTCATTCTTCGACTCACTTCCTCCTCGATCCCCATTCGAGTTCGTTGAATCGCGATCCTTAACGAATCGTTCTTCCTCCCGTTGTTCAAAATCATCTGTTCTGTCTGTTCGAATTCTTTCAACGTGAAAAAAAAAAAAAAATAAAATAAAATAAAAAGATTTACCCGCGTTCAAGGATCAAGGATTACGGTAACTCTTGTTAATCTCGTTAATCTCTCGTTCCCCTTTGTCATCTGTTTCAGACTCGAAGAGGGACCACAATCGCGTCAACTACGACGCGCCGTTCACCTGTTACAAATGCGGGAAACGTTACACATGGACCGACTCATTGACGAGACACCTTCGGGAGGGCTGCGGGAAGTTGCCGAGGCATAAGTGTACCCTGTGCGGTAGAAAATTCAAACGCAGGGACTATTTGTTGCGTCACGAGAACAACGTTCACAAAGCGGAGTGAATTGATTAATTCACGATCAATATATGATACGCTTCCTAAAATATTCCGTCGAGAACGTTCGAGCTTTGTTCCTTTTCGAAGAGAGAGAGATATTGGACGATAAAGCTTTGTTTTTTTTTTTTTTTTCCTTTTTGGTAGGAGATCGATATTTTTTATATGTCGTGATTCTTTTCTTCTTTCTTCTTTTTTTTTTTTTTTTTTTTTTTTTTTATTTTTTTTTTTTTTTTTTTTTCCTTTTTGGTGGGAGATCGATATTTTTTATATTGCGTGATTCTTTTCTTCTTTCTTCTTTTTTTTTTTTTTTTTTTTTTTTTTTATTTTTTTTTTTTTTTTTTTTTCCTTTTTGGTGGGAGATCGATATTTTTTATATTGCGTGATTCTTTTCTTCTTTCTTCTTTTTTTTTTTTTTTTTTTTTTTTGGAAACGTCGCTTAGAAAGAATCGTTTCTTTCTTCAAACATTCCTATACAAGATACGATACGGACAGAAACGAATGAGTTTCGTCGTCTACGTGTCTCGATCGATTGTGGAAATTATCGATTTGTTTATATACATATATAAGACTGATACCGTCGTTTCAAAAATGTCATCGTTGTAATATATATATAAATATATATATATATAAAAGAAATAATTTCTTTTGATTTGATTTTTCGAATTTGAATTATTGAATTATCTAAGTACGATTCGAATCTCGAGTCGGGAGATAATTCATAATTATATATAATTTGTTGATTGAAATCAAATGAATTCTATATATAATTTATATTTATATAATTGGATCATCGAGTCGTCGTGTTCACACACTTGTAATCGTAACTTTTCTAACGTAACACTTTTTATACGTTTAGAGTATGTATATAGAAATTTTTATATGTATATTATATATATATATATATATATATGTGTGTGTGTTCTACGTGTTACGGATTCACGTGTTTCAAGAACACACGTTTTATATAAGAAACTGTCATTTCGAGAAATGCGCGACACTATGTAAATACGTGCGTGTGCTAGCGATACGTTTTGCTCTGCGCATGAAAATGATATTATGTGGTGCGAATGATTCGTGGAATCGAAAATAAAAAATAAAAAATAAAAAGAAAAAAAAAAGAAAGAACGTATACGTCAATATTTCTGAAAATAAAAGAATAAAAGATTAAATAAATAAATTAGAATTAATG